TTTCTGTTGCTAAGAAAGACAAGTGAATTTTGCCCCATTTTACGACCTTTCTTGCCACAGTTTTTAAGTGAATCACTGCAGTTGTTAAGTTAGTAACATGATTGTTAAGTGAATCTAGCTTTTCCACTGACTTTGTCAGAAGATTGCAAAAGGGATCACATGACCCCAAGACACTGCAACCGTCATAAATATGAGTCAATTGCCAAGTGTCTGAATTTTGATCATGTGACCATGGGGATGCTATAACAATCACCAGTGTGAAAAATGAACATGTTACTTTTTCCCCAGTGTCATTGTTTTCAAACAATCACTAAATTAACTGTTCTAAGTCAAGGACTACCTCTACTGAAGTCAGTGATTTGTCAGCTAACCAACAAGATTGTAGCCTAAATAAACTATGCAGAGGTTACATTTCTGACCTGGGAAAAAAGTGAGTAAAAGCACATTAGGACAGAGCTATATGAAGATATGCAAGTTTTTGAGAAAGAAAATAGGGAGATCTCTCTCTTTCATAAAAGTGGCATCTGGATCATTCAGTGAAGCTGAGTGATGGAAGTTTCAGCTCTGACAGAAGTACTATTTCATAAAGGATATTAAAAAAATAGTATAAGAAAATCAATTGATTTCATGACCTTTGTGGCAGTTGTTAAGTGAACCCATTGTTCGCTATGGCATGGTTTGGCCAAAACCATCATAAAACACAGTCATGTGACTGCAGGCGGGGGGAGAAGTGCTGGAACTTCAGAACCAAGTCTTAACTCCCCTTTTGTAGGTAGGCTGCAAACTTGAATGTTTATTAAGTAACCATTTGGAAGTTGAGGATTATATGCAGACAAATTCATGAAGGTTTGTTAAATGGTATTAGTCATAATGCCTCTCCTGTATCACTGGCAATACCTGCTACTGAGAAATACACTCTACGACTAGTGAATTTTTCGTATGTACATGGTTACTATCATAGGCACAGATGGATACACCAACTAAAGCCTGGGATTCATCCAACATGTTTCTTCTCATGAGTGTATCTATGACAGAGGTGTCAAACACAAGGCCGGGGAACCAGATTCAGTCTGCGGGGTGCTTAGATTTGACCTGTGGTGTCACAATTGGCCCGTGGTGCCTCTGCTAGTCCCTCCCGAGCTCTTTTTTTGCTGGCAGAGGGTTGCAGGATGCCGTTGTAGCTGAAAGCGGAGCTCGGGAGACCATTTTTGCTGGCAGAACGATCGAGCTGCCACAAATGCCCCCAACATGAGTGACATTGACACCCCCATGGCCTACCCAAGGTCAAACACAACCCTGTTGTAGCCCTCAATGAAATTGAATTTGACATACCTGACCTATGACAAGTAAATGAAACAGTGAAAGGCTATCTTCTTTTTTACTGTTTTTAAAATTAGTACCTAAAAAACATCTTCCTATCCTGTTGTTAAATTAGTACCAAATTAGTACTAAATTAGAACTGATTAGAAATTAGAACATTTCTGAGCTTCACAAAGAACAAATTCATTTTGTTCTTGTTAGAATAAAATATTTCATATTATTTTTTGCCTAGAAGAATGCATAAATATAATTTAAATTATCCTTTAGGTACTAAATTCAACATCTCTACTATGCTATATTTATGTTATTTAAAGCAGTGGTCCCCAACCTTTTTATCGCCGCGGACCAGTCAGCCTTTGATAATTTTACTGTGGCCCGCCGAGCGCGCGCAGTGGTGGGGGGGTGTTGTTCGCGACGACACATTGATTGTTTATATATCAGATTGTTTTGATTAAACA